GTAAACCGAGTGTTTCAATTTTAGAACCACCCTGTGGACACAAGCCTTTAAAAACCATGAAAACAAACAATGCACGCTTACAGCTTAGCTTACTTACCAGCTGTGAAAGCACTTTGAATCCTGATGTGAAGATGACTTCTCTATTACACAGAAACCACAGCTGGAGGATGAAGACTTGGTGCAGACGACCCAAGTTCTTTCCTGATCAACACTGTCACCAAGCTACAACTAAACCCTGCTGCCAAGGACAGGCGAGAATGTTTGCAGCCCACCAAATGACTCATTAAATGAGAAACTCACTGCATCAACTAATACTAAAAATGGACTATCGATCCAGAGTCCACTTACTCAAAGTGTGTTCACCTACTTCCTGGAGGAGGTTGAACCCAGGGGAGTTACACTTCCAGTCCTCTAAAGGGTTTTGAGAGAGATCTTGCTAATTGCCCAGGCTAGGCTCAAACTTGTGGTCCTCCTGTCTCAGCCTCCTAGAACGTTGGAATTACAGGCATGCATCGCTGTACCCAGTCCATATTTACTTGTAGAGAGGACAGGGCTAATTAAACGGCTTGCACTCATAAGAAGTTATCAAAAATGGGCTCTATATTTAAAAAAAACCTAAGCACTGTACAAAATTTCCTCCCAGAATAGCTAACACAGCTGATAAACCACATACACCCTCTCCTCACAGTGTATAAAACATCCTGATTTCGTCCTAAATGAACAGATACAACAGGCCCATGTCCTACTGCCTGCTGCGCTGTACTTTTGGGGTCCATCTGCTCACCCTGGCAAGGCATATACACGTTATGGTACAGGGAGAGCCTGAGCCCCAGAGGGTGTCCCTGGCCCAGAGAAAGAACTGGCACTCAATCTCAACGCAGATCCTGAAGCCATTTTTGTTGGACTTTTTTTTTTTTTTTTAACGTGTTTAGTACAGGGTCTACAGGGTGTACAGGGTCTCGCTACCTAGATGGGACGCACAGTGATCCTGTTTTCAGCCTCCCAAGCGCTAGGATTACAGGTGGCACCACCACGCTGTCTCAATCACCATCTCAGCGCACACTGGTGGTGGAGCCGACACAGCTTATGGTGCCGGAGATCAAACCCCAGTCCCTGCGCTCTGCCTAAGCAGAAGCTTTAGTCCGCTGAGCTATCTGGCCGGCCCTGGACTTAAAATTTTAAAAAGTACTCATCTGCCAATTGTGCTGAGCAAAGCCTGAATATATACAGCATGTTTCACTTGATGGGGATGTGACATTCTGGGAAATCCAGTCATGGACCATTTGTGCTAGAGCACAGGTCAAGCCCTGACTTAGGGCCGCCATTCCACCGGTGCATTCTAGACCTGTATGGGCTGTGTTAGACTGCTGCTGGTACAATGTGGCACACTGATTTAACTTTTTTTTCTTTAAACTTTTTAAGGCAGCCTTAGAGTTCAGAAGCTAACTGGACACCTGTTAGACCTGACAGGGAAACAATGTCCACGTTCTCAATCGAGCACCAGGAAAAAGATGACGAAACAAAGATTTTCAGACTCCTAGAGGTACATTTTAAAAAAATTATCTTTATTTAGGTTTCTGATTCAGCACATGTATCAAAGACTAATCAACATAAAGTAAAGAAGACATTAATTGGAAGTCTTACATCTCTCTAAACTCCGACGGAGAATGTCAAGTTGCCACTATCACCAGAACTCCAACCTAGTCAAGTTGTAGACAAGCTACCAGGACCACCACACAGCGCGCACAGAGACGCAGAGGCGAAAGGCATGCTAGCAGCTGGCTCGCTTCTCGTCGACGTCTTGCTGCTTGACAGTCCACTCCTGCATCCCAGGCTAAGTTACACATGAAGTCCAGAGAAGACTCGGGGTCAATCTGACCAGATACTCTTCTAGAGGAATGTATTCTTAACCTGTTGTGCCCGCAACTCTGCTTCTGCCAGGAATGAAGTTCGGACTGAGATGTACAATACAATCTAGATGAGGTGCAGACTAAGTCAACAACTGAAGTTGAGCAGTAACCCGAGTTAAGGCATGAATCCACACACGCACACGTGCACACACCGCACCCACGCTAGCATGAACGAAGGACACCTTCCACTGCCGACTGAGAGGCAACCTGGGTGTGCAGCTAGGAACTGCTGAGCATTCTGGGAAATGCTTGCAGTAACATTATGCTAACATGTGCAGAAGAGAGAGAAAAAAAGGGGAGAGGGGTAAAACAGACAAATCCAAAACCTAGACACCCCTTAACCTCTCTTACAATGGCTCCTGAGCATAGAACTCATAGCAGCGTCCGTGGCTGGCTCTGTCATAATTTGGAAATAAAAGTTTGTCTCACTATTTCTTTGGTAGCCATCACTACAAAGTTTTCAGTGTTGGTTAACTCTAAGACAAGTATTAGACCGAAGATTGACTTACACAGCATGTCTTCTGCACTGTTGAAAGTACCCCACTCTCAGAGCACAAGTTCTATGCTTTTTCTTGCCTTATGGTGCACTCTTCTAAAACACAAGGCTTTGTGCAGGGAAAAGCTCACGTCTACCTACTGGAAGGGCAATACAGATTCTATTTTCCTACAATTGAACAATGAACAAAAAGTCACGGTATCAATTATTTCTAGCCGGATCAGTTAAGAAGCCAATTGCAAAGGCACAGCAGTGCTTGGTGTCAAAGCCACATGCTGGTCACACATTCATTCCTGATTGCTAGTCAGTATCTCAGGAGCTCAGAATTTGAAACTCCTTCCCATCAGAAAAGGAGTACGTTCAACTAATCTAAAACTCTTCCATCTGCCAGATTTCTAGAATTCCGTCTACAATGCCAGCATGCTTGACAAGAGAGAAAGCAGTTCAGTTCAGAGCCCAGAGGCATCAGGTATTAAGTTAATTTGGTTCTGTAGAAAGGCATGATGACCTGGCCACTGAGGACTTCTCCTATTAGCAGCACAGCGGTAGCCAAGGGTCTCAGTCAGCCGAGCGAGACAGAAAGTAAAGCGACTGAAGCTACTGTTGCTCCACCTGCCTGCACGGTGGTTGATTTACAAGGCCCTCCTGGGACTGATTCAGGGTCGGCCTGGACAGGCTGGCAAGAGACGAGTAGGACCCACGTCCAGCTCCTCTGTGAAGCATCCAACGCAGGGAAGTCAGTTTCCCACACGTAAGGAGCGTCCTGCCTCTCGCAGGCTCAGGACCCGAGGATGGCCAGGCCCTGGAGGATAAGCCATTGTCAAGAAATTGTCCTAGCAGGTACTGCTCAAAGGCTACAGGCTCCACATGAGGTCATAAAACACCTACAAATGACACGGTACATCATAAATTCAAAATAGTAGTGTTTGTTCTATCAGTTCTGAATGTCTGCGGAGAGAGGCAACTAGATTTGTGTTGAGAAAGTGCAGTTTAAAGGAGCAGTGTTTTGTTCTGAAGCAAAATGACGGGCCTGGGGGACCAGCAGCACATCGCCAAAGGCTGAAGGTCAAGAACTTCTCTCTAGAAGGCATCTGGTACGGACTGTTTGTTCACTCCAAGTGCTTTTCCACTCACCATATGGCAATGTTTTTAACTTTGTGCTTTCAGGAGATAGATAAACTGATAGGAGACCAAGACAAGATCATTGCATTATGGACTTTCTTGGGTACCAGATACCAACCAACAGCATTGAAATCTACAATCTCAGAAAAGATTCTTGTAAACATATACCATAGTTCTCCTACAAGAGAAACTAAGAACTGTACCGTGAAGGCAACGCTGGCTTGCCTTGCTTCAGAGTGCCTTGGGATGGGCAGGGTACCGGCGGGGTCGGAGAGCTGTGCCAGACACCCCAGGTTTGACAGGACCCAGCATATCAAAAGCCTAAAGCCTCAATAACAAATGTCAAAGTCCTTCCCCACATTTGAGAACTGTACTATGGTTACGTACATTACATACACATCATAAATAAAAATTTTTTAGACCAATACTTTCTTTCTAACAATTGAAGGGGACATTCTCAGTTTGGGGGCAGAAGCAGGAAGAGGCAAAAATAAAAATAAAAGTAAAATCCTACTGTTGCTTTTACTCTCGATTCTTAAAACGCTAACCAGACACTATGACCCCATAACACTTTTTTCATTCTGTTAATTCTTAAATATGCATTCGAAGGCAAAAATGGAGATTTCTATACTGTACAATGTCAAATATCTACAATGTCATGGTTCCTTATTTTTAGGAGTGTGTTCCATAAGGAGTTAGCTATTAGAGATGGCTATCACAAAACATGAAGTCTTAAAAATTACTGATAAATTAATTTTCAATTCTCTGATTATATTCAACAGATACACGTTCTCATCATAAAATATACATTCTCTAGTAAGTTATTTTCATCCACAGCATATGTAAATATGCAAACACAGGTGGCAAAATCACTTTACTACCAAAGTACAAAACAACTGCCGAAAAACAAAAAGAGATGCTGCAAGAATTAAGAAGGGGTGGCTTCAAGTGGCCCGCTTGGAGGCGAGGCCACGCAGCTTATTCCTGCTACAGGCATGGAAGTGATGTACTCAGAACACACTCCTCTGTAGGCGGCCTGCTGACGCCGTGAGACCATCAGGCATCCACGCTGAGTCGCTGCCTACCTTCCATCCTCTGCGCTTCCTGTCAAGCAACACAGTAGTCTGTGGCCAGTACGCCAAGACATCCCTATGACGTCCACCTCAAATAGGACTTTCTAATCTCACTTTACACCCCTAAACCAGCTGTTCAAACTTTATCTCAGGAGAACACAAACGAGAACCAAAGGTGAGATCACCTGGTTTTGTTACAATCATGACGGGGTCCTCCA